GCTAAGAGGCTATTTGTTGAGCTGGCTGTTGGTATTCGATCACTTCGAGCATGCGGTAAGTTCACGACGCCTTCCTTCGCGCGCTCGTACTGATGTCTGCTGCAGTCATACAAAGTTAGAACAGATTATGTGGAGCACATCAAGGAGGGTGACTACCTTCCGGGCCTCCTCGATTTTGCGTTCGACTTCTTGGGTCATGCGCGGGGTAAGCCTGTCGATGTGTCCAAATCCGACATTACCACATACACTCCGGACGTAGAGCTCCCCAGACGGGAGACAGAGTTACTAATTGCTCACCTCTACTACCTCTGCCTGCAACATATACCCGCACAGACGAGGTCATGGCGCATGAACTGTAAATCGCGAGCGATAACCTCATATTTGGAGTCATGGACGGAAAAGAACGTACGTCTTGCGATCACCGTATCTGCGCACAGCTGATCATGGTACTTAGATTTCACCCCCTCTTATCTCCACCACCCTCGACTCCGTCGCCACCTGGGCCTCCTCCCTGAATGAGGAGAACCTCACGGTCAAAGTCAACCACCGCGCCCGCGAAATCACGATCTCGTACCTCGTCGACGAGCAACTCATGTCCATGCGCATCACGCTCCCCGCCGCTTTCCCTCTCGCAAACCCCGCCGTCGAAGGCCTCCGCCGCGTCCTCGTCACGGAGCAAAAATGGCAAGCCTGGCTCCGCACCTCTCAGTCTGCCATCACGATCTTCGACGGCAGTATTGTGGACGCGATTACGACCTTTAAACGCAATATTGAGGGTGCGCTGAAAGGACAAACGGAATGCGCTATCTGTTACTCGATTGTTGGGAGCGATAGAAAGTTGCCGGATAAGCGGTGCGGTACTTGCAAGAATCTGTTCCATAAGAGCTGTTTGTTCAAGTGGTTTGAGAGTAGTAATGGGAGTACGTGTCCGCTTTGTAGAAACCCTTTCCATGCGGGTTAGTGGCCTCGTGTGGGATTGGGGAGGGGTGTTTGATATGCTTGGGTTGGGTGTGGAGCACAGGAGTTGGAGAAGCGGGAGGGGGAGAGAGGGACATGCGTGTATAGCGTTACTCGAACAATATTAGCATCACGAGTCACCCTCTGTTCTCTTCAATGTTGTTGTTGATACAGGCCCGTAGGCCAGAACCTAATGCGGAAGGTACCGGCGAGTGCGCCTTCCCCCGACTTCCACCCCACCTCCCCACCCACCCTCTTCAACTCGCCCTTCACTATTGACATTCTGTTTTTACCTTCACGCTCACTGCTACGATCTCGTCCAAATTCTCGGCTCATTCATCTCACGCTCATTTTCTGCCATGCCTTGCGAACTGGTCGACTACGTGAGCTCATCCGATGATAAAGACACCCCAGAATCACCACGCCTGCAGAGACGCTCTGCCAACGCGGGCAAGGCAAACATCAAGTCCATGGTTGAAAATGCCACTGCATTACGCATCGCATCAAAATGGGCCTCCGAAGAATTGCAGATGAAGCTCCAAAACAGAAACGTGGATTACGCCTATGCTGCTCTGGGCAAATCGCCTCAACGCATTTCTCAAGGAGGTTATGAACAAGTAAGTTAAGCCATCACATTCCGAATGAATAATTGGAGGACAGTCGAGTGTTTTCAGCCCCTCCGTTAATCTGCCACCTTGTGGGCCACTGCCCATGGAACCCTATCCCCCTGGTCCATTATTGTGCTAACATGTCATACAGGGAATCGGCTACGCCGACCGGGCGCGATATCGAGAGGTTCCTGCACTCCATCGTCAACCAGACAACAGGCAAGGGGAAAAAGCGGGGTCCCAGGGGTCGGCTGGCAGATTAAGGGACTCCAACAAGTCACCAAGATTTGCGTCCTCCACTACCCGGGTTTCGAGCTTACGTCCCATGAGAAAAGCCGTATTACTGGAACCGTCAACGCCCTGCTTGTCTACGGCAAGATCACTCGCGATTGCAAGCTTTAACGACAGTGGGCTGGTGCACCAGTAGACGACTTTCTTGCGAGAGAGTTCTTGAAGAACGCCGCCCTTCGCGGCACCTTGACATGGAATCTCGTCCTGCAAAGACTCAGGACATCCTTTTGACTGCAGCTACGTGCTGTAGAACCGGGGTTTCGACCAAAAGATATAGGGATCGAAACAAGCAACCGTATCTCGCCTTCAAAAATCTTAGGATATGGTTCGAAAAGGGGAATTCTATCGACGACCTCGCCATGGTCGTTGATGTCGTCAATTGCAAAGGCAGCAAACACGAAGCGGGTCCGTCGAAATTGGTCACGCTGTACAGTCGATCGGGCAGCAAGGAACTACATCTACGCCCGGTGAAGACGGTGCTGATTTTAGCACTACAGACTCTTAATGTCGTCGAGAAGCATTAGAGAAGGAATCGCTCCATTTGAACAGTCAACCAATTGAACAGTCAACAGGAAGTTCCCGACACGTCCCGTCATTATTGTGTTTATGTCGATGGGAATACGGCTCGATCTCGATAAATCCCGCGCCGAATACTCAACTGACCAGTTTCTTGGAGAATGAGTGCCTGAGTATTGGCAGTGCAGGGAGTATTCCAGCGCATGACTCCCGGGAAGGCGGCGTTCGCGACCTTGGCCACAGTGACCGGAAACAAAGTCGCAGATATACTGTTCGATGCCGGTGTCCGAAAATTGGTCACATTTCGTTCATGATAGATCTTGAGGAACAACAAAAGGAACTCGTTCAAGCGATGTACAAACAACGCTACTCTTTGTCGGATGCCTCTGCCCAGAAAATTGGGATTCGCCCGCTGGGGTTTTGTCCTATCGGGCCGCCAGCTGTTGACTTTTGGGGTCGAAGACTGCAAGAGCCCTGCACGACCCTGCTCTTCAGATTGACCTCAGTGTCAACGATGCTCAACTAAGGTCGATAAGAGCAAAGCGAGGGAAGATCCTGAAGCTCGTAGAATCGCATGGCATCGATCCGTCAGACGTTAAGGCGAGGCCGCGTCTTGCCCTATCCGAGCGGAAGAGGGAGGCGGAAGAAATACGCAAGTCGATAGTACAAGCTGCAGAAATTTCGAACCCTCCTCCAGTTGCGAAGAAAGCACGAGGCAGCGATACAACCACGGAATCAACGGCAGTGACGACGAGACACCAAGTTTTCGAGTATACGAGCCAATTCCCTGAGGCCGGACAAACCCAATTGGGCTATGTCTCTGCTGACTCGTTGGCCGACGAAAACTACGAAGATCCCGACGCGTCCTTTGCTGGAAATGGTACCAGACTCGCCGCCTTGATTCAAGGCGAGGAAGAACAAAACGGAAGCAACGATGATAACATAGCAATGGCATCGAAGAAGGCTTAATGCTGGGGCCGCCAGATGGCAATTTCCCGTGGCCTGAAACCAACCTCCAATTTGTGGAGGTTTTGTCCGAGGTCAACTTCACGAACATGACACAGCCAAAGAAGAGAAAGCACGTCTTCGACGCCAACACCGGTGGCTCTCGTGAGCCGTTCGTGTCCATGGACCTGACGTGCAAACACAAGGCAAACGGATGTACGTTTAAAACGAAGAGCCGTGACTCCCATCGGGCACATGAGGCAATCTGTCGCCGCGGTGACAAACCGGGCATCAAGTGCCCACAGTGTGACCGAGACTTCGATGACACGGAGCAACTCGAAAAATACCAGAAACGGTTCCACAAGGGGTTCCCGCGCGCCTGCCCCAAGTGCGCAAACACTATGTTCGCTGATTTCGGGGAATTGGAGAAGTATCGCCGCGAAGTCCACGATGCCATCGCACCGTGGTTTTGCAACGTACCCGGATGTAACTCCAGGAAGAAGGCGACCCCCTTCACCAATAAAGACGCCGTCAAAGACCATCTGAAAAGAATGCACGGCCTGAAGAAGGCAGAGGACCAGAAGAAATACTGGCCGTGGTCCTGATCTCTCTTCCAGCAATTGGCCTCCATCAGTAGCCTCTCTTTTCGTTATATTTTCCTCACATTGTCCCCTCGGAGGCTGTTATATCTTTTTCTTTGGATTTCTCGGTCTCTTTGAGATACCGCACGGAAGCAAGACGGTGATCTCGGTCTTCATTTCATGGGACATGTATGATCTACACACCATTCCAACCAGCGACCGCACAGTAGGGGGTCAGCATTCACGATGGGCGATGCAAGTTTCATGGGTCATGAGAAGCATTATTTGATGTCATTCAAGCGTTCCCATAACTGTCAGCAAAGTAGCCTTCTAGCAATTATCGCTGGATTGTCAATTCTCTCGGCCGCTCGAGATCAACCATATGCCCCGTGCTTTGTGGTTTGTACGATCAGGCGAAGACGATTTGCTGACATCTTACTTCGCCATTCGGGGCTCCGTTCCAATGACCGTTCTGTCGAATCGCTCTCGATACCTATTAAAGAAAGGCTACGACACCTTACTTCACCACTTGCGGATCCATTCAGACTACAGCTCCGTCAACTCGTCAGCGCCATCGATGTTGGCGTTTACAGGACCGCCTGCCTCACTGATCGTTATCAGCTGTCTCTGTTAGGGCACGGAAACATCGCGATATGAACAAATCTATTTTTTTTTTCTTTTCGGCTTGAACTCACCAATAGAGTAGCCGCTCAGCTCTGAAACAAATCTCTGTGCTTAGTGTCTTTGGATCGAAGAGGGCATTCCTACTATCTTTTAGCGCCGTTTTGCCATATCGTTTATAACATTCTGCAATTGTTACGTCTCTATCCTGTAGCGGGTTCTGCCATCAAACGATGTAAGAAAACGTGGGAAAGGTCCTGGGCTCAATACCAAATGAATGTTCTGTGTGTGGTCATTTCTGCAGATCCGTAATAGGTATGTGTATTTATATGTATATATGTATAGTAAAAGATGTACGTGATTTGAAATAAATAACAGCTCCTACCTCCTGTCAGAAACACTCTCGATCAACTAATTCGACTAACCGAAAAAAAAAGGGACCAGCGCCGGATCCGAAGACCAAAAGAAAACAAAAACAAAATGGACAATCTGGGAATTGAACCCAGGACCTTTCCCACGTTTTCTTACATCGTGAAGTTGCAAGACTTGCTAAGGGAAAATCATACCACTAGACCAATTGCCCAATTGATTTGATGAATCAATTTGGATGTTTAAAGATATATAATTGCATTATAATGCTTTCAAACTGAAGATACGTAGTTTCTCATATTCCCGAGTAGCTAGCTGGATGCACTACCAGGCAACGCGATAACCCTACACACTCGACAAGCCTACTAGTCCCCATGGAGTCAATATCCAGGCCATCAAACAACTGCATGATCTCTTCGTGTGGTTTCATCGCGACATGTTCACATGATCCCACGGGGCCTGCCCAGCTGGAACTTTTTGTATGATGACCCTCAGACGCTCTATTCGCGGAGCATGGTACCACACCACCACATTACAATACAGGGAGGACATAGGTGCACGCGAACACACTGATGATGTTGAAATTTAAATCACTTCAAGTGTATCAAGTGCATAGCACGGGCTTGTGGAAGAGCAATGATCGAACCCCCCGACTGCCTGGGCGCGTGGCGTGGGACGTGGTGGGAGAAGGTGATTGCTCCATGCGAACACAGTCCGTACACAATTGACGAACAGCGCGTGCAGGCTCAAATATGCCCGTTGGCCAGAAAGCTCGATTCAGTCCATATCTAGAGTAGCAAGGCATGGCTGGCTGGGCTGCCTGTGTGTCGCGGCGATGAGGTTGTGTGAGAGGTGAATGTCGCCGGTGGCCTACGTATCGGTGGCCCAGCACCTGCCAAACAACGTGCAAAAAGACAACACTGTTGTTCAGACACCCAAAACCACCTGAACGCTCCCCAAAAACTGACCAAACGCATCAGAAGCGCCTATACCATCAATCCTCCTTCCCCTGACAGGCGTGCACGCATCAGCGTCGCTGTGCGGCGGCAGCGAACCAAGGAACGCGTTGGGTGCAAAAAAAAAGGGGGAAACTATCCACAGGACAGGCTCGAACTCGTCTCGGAGGGGAAGGGGGGCGGGGTATAGGGGTCGCGCGATTCGGGGCCGTTACCGCTGACCCATCCTGTGTGTTTCCATAATCTGACCAGTATACAAGTTTCGTAGATAATGAAGGAATTTTCTTTTGGAATTCGGTGCGTGCAGTGTTGTCGAGAACGCAGTTACCATTGGACGTGACGCATGGAGACGCCGCACGCACCTGGCCGACACACATGTAGGTGACAGCAGCCATACCCCCGACCGACCACCTTACAACTTCGCCGACGCGGTCGATACGCCGAATTCAACGTTCCTGGGCTTCGCTACCCTCGCATCGCTCTTGTCGGTGTCGTCCCACCCTGCAATGAGGTCTTCGAGCACGTCGGTCTGGTCCTGGCCCCATACGATACCACCCACGTTCTGCATGGTGTCGTTCGACGATTCGTGGAACACGCGATAGCTGGGGACGCCGCAGATGCCCACGGCCTTCGCTTCAGCGGTGGCTTCACGCAGTTTGGCCTTGATCTCAGCGGAGTTGGCGCGCTGCAGGAGCTCGGGGCCACTGTAGCCGGCTTCCGTGAGGACGTCGGATAGGACGCTGTCTTTCGAGACGTCTTTGTTGTGGCACCAGCATGCTCGGTCTGGATTATGATTAGAACCATTCCAGATCGCATACGACTGCGCAAGTACATACACAAGACATCGATGCATTTAGGCTCGGCAAGTGCGCAGCGAAGAACAGTGGGCGTGCGGATAGGGAAGACGTCTGCCCAGTGGAAGTTGATCTGCTTGTCTGGGTTCCCTTCCTGCACGTTCACAGCGTTCCAGAAGGCCACCCAGTCGGCATGGTCCTGACGAGACCAGGCGGCCTTTTGGGGCGACACGGCAGCCATGGGGAGGTTAGGCGCACCGATCCTGTCTCTGTGTGAGAATGCTGAAGCGAGATTGGGTCGAGGGATGTACGCACTCTCTGAATAGAATACCAAGAAGGAAAGGCTTCATGACAATATCCAGGTCCTTGCCAAACGTGCGCTGCAGCCGTTGAAGTTGTGTCCAGCCAAGGAAGGCCCATGGAGAGCTGAAGTCGTACCAAAACTCCACTCGCACCTTTCCAGGTAGCTTGTTCATGCTGGCGCACCTGGGCAACAGACTCCTGAGCCCAGGGACATCTTTCAGATCTCCACCAGTCTTGACAGTCATCAAAGCAGCCTCAACGAAGTGCATACGATCCTGACCCCAGAAGAACCTCCCGGTGTTCTGCTGTCCAGAAGCATCCTGCCATTTGGCCTGAGGCACCCAGAACCCGGGTACGCCAAAGGCGCCGCGGTTGATAGCGTCCTCGGTCGCCCGCTCCAAAGCCTGCCTAGCGCTAGCATCCTTGAAGGCGGATTTGTCCAGCTTCTCAGCACCTTTGACTCCACATTCCCTGGCAACCTTCAACAACTCCTCATCATCGGCAACATCCCGACCTTCGACCCAGTATGCCTTGAACAGAGCATGCGACAAGGCGGGGCGGTCCGCTTCACCAACGTAGTGTATCAACCGGAGAGCATTGACCGATTTGCGCGGATGCTGAGGAGGCGGGTTGTAGGCAATATTGAAGCGTTTAAGGGTCCTGCGCATGGATCGAGCCGTCACGGCTTTCTTAGTCGGGTTGAAGACATCGGAAGCGGAGCCAGCAGCACCCTGAGGCGCAGACGTCGCACGGTAGATGGCGCCCAGGAGGACAGGTCGCCAGATGAGAGTACTGTTCGTACGTTGAGCAAGCGCTTCGACACGAGTGGAAGCTATGTAAGCAAAGGGGCAAGAGACCTAATGCAGTGAGTGACAGATTCGTGAGGCTCGGAGCGAGACATACATCATAGTTGAACTCCAGGATTGGGGAGGCCATGTTGTGTTTGAACCAGCTGGCCAGAGCAACCTTGACCTAGATGATGAATCTGGCAAGCACTTTGGGAATACGCGGAGCTGTTCACATCTGGAAGCTTAGTGTGGGGTAGTAAGCCGAGGTTCAATCGTGGGCTCGACTCGGTCCCGTCCCAGCCCATGGACGGCCAGAGGCGGCCACAAACAAAGCCATGATTGTGGCCTTAAGAAAGTATGGATTGACCTTACGGTCGATTTGTATGCGAAATGAACTCGTGGGAGGTGGAGAGCCCTGGAGGCGATGCGGTCGTGATGGTGCAGAAGATGGAATTTTGCGGCAAGTTCCAGCGAGACGCTAAACCCTAACAGGCATCGGTGATGGGAAGCTCTACTATTCGTACACTACAATTGATAGGGAAAGACTCCAAATACTCCCATCCTTCTCCCTGTCCAGTTGCTATAATGTCGCAAATAGAGGTCGGATTGATGTTATAAATTTCGGTATGAGGCCAGGTCCGTTCTGTTTCCAGAGACACAGCGACTGTTCTACCATCGTAAGGCTTCCCGTCCATGTTCCTTTAGAAAGCCTCGCATTGAGATGTTGCGTCCCCGTCCGATTACACCGCATCTACCCAAAAAGCCAGACCACCGATGGAATTTGTCTAGCTCCTCTTCACATTTCGTTTGCGAAGTGGTGACTGAACATTTGCAACCGCCGTAAGCTGAGCGTCACTAGAACCGTAAGTGAACAGGCTACCCAACTGTTTCTGGAGCCCGATGTGATCAGCAATAGTAGCAGGAAGTGGCTTCGGGGATCTGCGCGGGTAATATGGAGGTGCCACGTGCTCGCCATGCTGCTCCGCGTGCGCCATCAGGATGCCCTGGGGTGTCAGGGTGTTGTTTCAAGCCCTCTCGACCTCCGGAATTCATGCCGATTTGTTGAGTAGGGCTCCATAGCCAGTACGATGCTGTTACTAGAGAAGGACGTCATCAGCACGATCAAACACTTGCATGGGTTAGAGGTAGACAGATGCATGAAGATGCTTTCGAACCCGGCCCGGTGTTCGGACTTGGACGCCTTGTCGGTCCCCGAAATTTGAATTCACTCGGACAGATACGTCGCGGTTACGCCTCCATTGAACGGAACACGTGTAGTATGTGAGTGAGAAAGATCGTATCGACGCAATGTATGTCTGGCGGTAAGTGGAGCAGGGGGAGACGATATAGTAGGTCACTGCGCCCCGTTCGAGCGATCTCTGGTATTATGCCTCGAAGTGGCTTACGTGACCAATCAGGATTGCCCTGAATGCATTAAGATGTAGTCTCAAGTGGGCAATCTCTTACCATTACCCGTTATGGCGCCGCGAGACTCGTAGGGCCTTCGATATTTTCCAGTTGGTCCTATCATGAAGAATTGGTTTTGCCAGGATGAATGAAGTTTGGTTCTCGACAGGTCTTGAGCGCAATACATCCCGACAAGCCACCAGCAGAGTGCTAGATCGACATCAACGAGCTATCCATATAGATCAACCCTGGATCACCCTTCTCCGGTCCCTCCTCCTTTGTGATTCCAGCATCTGCTCCGCAACGTCGATCACTGTCTCTTCTACACTCCGGTATCTGATACCCAGTATTGAGGCCGTATCTTGCGTATCCTGAAGAACAAGTGCAGTCTCGATCCTTCTGCCCTCATCACTCGGCAGGCGGCCTCGTTCAACGCGGTCGGCGAGGTCGGGGAAACGAGCTACAAGGACCTCCGCAATTGCTGCCGAAGACAGCATTGAGTCCGCAGATACGACAAAGCGCTTGTTTTGTACATCAGAAGACAGCCCCGCTTCTAGGGTCGCGTTGGCAAGATCCTGTGAAAGGTCAGCATGTACATGGCGAGCGCGTGTAGAGCTGAGAGACGAGCGTACTCTTACATCAATATACAAGTCGAAGTCCTCAGGGAATGGAGTTGTAAGCTCGCCAGTGCTGATATTGCAGACATCCCATATCCGGCCATTGCCCCCTTGATTGTTGTAAAGGTTTTCGAGAGGGTATAGGGATGGACCGTAGATATTAGGTGCTGCTATAGTATTGAGGTCGAACTTAGCTTTGTTCTCGAGGGTCCACCTGTGAAGGGAGTCGCAAATGATGTTATAGCTTGCCACAATTGTGGCTAGGACGTATTCGAGGTCATCTTGGGACGTTCGTTCGGGCATACGCCTACCCACTATGGGGCTCCTTGTTGCCGAAGAGTCTGCCAGC